GGCGTTGGGCGGCAGCAGGTGTGGCCTCTGGTCCCTGTCCGCCTCCTGCAGGCAGCTCCTCCGCTGCTTGCAGAAGAAGTTGAGCGCGTCGATCGGCCCCAGGTCCAGCATCTTCGACCGCGACCAGTCTGTCTGCTCCAGCGGCAGTGGGTGGTCGGGCATCGCGTCGGGCGCCGAGGAGCGCACGTGGATGTCGGGCACGGAGGAGAAGGGCATCAGGCTCTCCGAGAGCGTGCGGTGGCTGTGGCGGACGGGGAGCTGCGAGATCAGCTGCTGGACCTGGGGATCCAGGGTCACGGGGCCCAGGTCTCTGGGCAAGCCCGGCTGCAAGCGTGTCCAGGAGACGGTGGAGAGTGCGGAGTGCACCGAGGGCCTCGAGGAGACCGGCGACAGCACCGTCTCGGAGACCTTGGGCAGCACCTCCGACAACCTGGCAACTGAGGGCTGCAAGGATTCTACCTGCGGGGGAGAGGGGAGGGGGGGGGCAGGAGGCCAAATCGGGGTGCTGCTCCTGGACCCCAGCTGCACCCCGCTGCAGACTCCCTCCCAGGAAGAAGCAGGAAGATCCCGAGAGAGGCGGGACTGGGAGGACAGGTGCCGTGGGTCTAGAGCAGTGGTTCTCAACCTTCCTAACGCCGAGACCCTTTAAGACAGTTCCTCATGTTGTGGTGACCCCCAACCATAAAATTATCTTCGTTGCTACTTCATAACTGTAATGATGCTACTGTTATGAATCGTCATGTAAATGTCTGATATGCAGGATGTATTTTCACTGTTACAAATTGAACAGAATTAAAGCATAGTCATTAATCACAAAAACAATATGTAATTATGTATGTGTTTTCCGATGATCTTAGGCGACCCCTGTGAAAGGGTCGTTCGACCCCCAAAGGGGTCGCGACCCACAGGTTGAGAACCGCTGATCTAGAGCAAGGCAAGGCCTCCCAGCCTCCCCTGCTCTCCCTGCACCTGGGGAAAGCCCTGGGCGAAGGCAAGAGGTTCCACTGGCAGGGCCCCCCCCCCGCCCCCCACCTCCAGGAGGTGGGTCATCTCCTCCAGCTTCTGGGAACAGCATCTGCGCAGCACGGCCTTGCAGTGCAGGTCCGGGTCCTGCACCCAGGTCATCATCTCCCTGAACAGGAAGCCCTCCGGGTCCTGGAGGCCCAGCCCTTCCAGCAGCTTCTTGAGCTCAGGCCTGCGACAGGTGAGGGCGGCTCATGCCCCGTCCCCCAGCTCCTGCCTCCCACCCCTGCTGCTGAGGGCAGCCTCACCTGCAGGAGGCTGGCGAGTAGAGGAGGTAGGACATGAGCTCCAGCACCACCTCGCGGGACTCCAGGGAGCAGGCCAGTTGCAGCTGCAGAGCCAGCATCACGAACTGCCTCTGGGTCTTTTCCTGAGCACCGGCAGGCAGGAGGGCGATTTGTGGGGCCGGCCTGGAGCATGACAGGGCGGGTTGGGGCGAGGCGGGCGGGGTGGGGCGAACCTGGAGGTTGGGGGGCTCGTCCAGGTTGAGCAGGTACTTGAGGGTCTCCTGCAGCTTCTTGTAGAGGGTTTTGCTCATCTCGGGCAGCAGCCTCAGCAGCGCCCGCAGGATGTGCACACGGTCCTCCCAGGAGGCCTCCTTCAGCAGGTCCATGAGCCGCGAGGCCAGGCCGTCCA